CCAAGGAATGAGCTTGTTTAACTTACTAGCATAGACAAAGCCTTTCTGAAACCTAAACCCAAGGTGGCTGGTTTTCCTGCAGGACTGAGCTTCCCATTGCAAGACCACATAGGCCTTTTGATAATTTGTTTTTCTGGATGATACAGAAATAAAAACATCTCTGGACTGATCAAAAGTTTTGGGAGACAAAAATGATGGCTTTATTTTATTTTTTTGCACCTGCTTTTGAACACAGTGAGTATATCACTACTATTTGGACTACTCACTTTTTTTCCCCCTTTACTTTTACTATGTATGGTGTATTGTGGTTTTAGGGACCATGCAGATGAGCTGCAGACCACAAAGTATTTCATTCCTATGAATATAGCAATTCTTTAAATCTAAACCAAGATTTTAGAGCCATTGTGCTGTGCCCACCTTTCCAGTATAACACTTAAAGACACTTTATAAAGAAAAGGAGCTTCTGGAGGAAGCAGCAGGGCCTGTTTTGGGAGCCATGGTCCCAGAGGCTCATGCCATGCACAGGATGATGGGGAAAGTCCTGAACTGTGGAGGTCTTCCAGGATGTCTGCAGTTCTGCATAGGCAGGTTGAGAAGATCTTGCATCATCCAAGGTTTTATCTTGGAAGAGCAATGGGAAAGGAAGAAAGATCTCACTTGAGTTTTTCATCAGCCTCCTCCTGCATGCCATAGCTTGTGACACAACACAACATGCTGTCATGCAGTCTCATTGCACACAGTCATGCCGGCTGAAGATGTCCTCCAGCACAGCCACAGTCCTCATGCCCCAGCAGCTGCTGCTGGGTCAGCTGTGAAGATGCTCTGAACTTCCTCCCCAACAAGTTTTGTGGCTTGGGACTCTGTGCTTGGGGAGCTGATTCTCCCAGCATCAGACAGAAGGTCAAGTTTTTGTTATTAACTTGGTGCCACTTCAATTTCCTGTTCATTGATAATTAAGTTAAAATAATGGGTCATTTTCTGTTTCCAAAATAATTATAACTGCCCTCACTAGCTTTGGCTTGGCTGGATTTAATTATTATTTACACTGATACAAATAGCAGAATCGGCCTACTGCTTTACATTTATATATTTATATTTATATATGCGCTGAGGAAAGTTATGTACTTCTGAATTGAAGTAACATTTTAATTTAAATTTTATTAATAACTGGATTTAAAATAGTCATGTATTGAATTGTGCTGGTAACACAATTGAAGTCCATATTTGGTAGTATTAGTTATCGCAATTTGATTTATGTAAGAAAAATAAGCAAATGTTTATGTAAAAGTATGCTTTTTTTTTTTTCTGTGAGTTGATGTATGAATGAATGTAACTGACATTCATAAGCTCACAGCAGCAAATACCTCACAATACCTTGCAAATGGCTGGTAAAAGGGAAGCAATCACTGACTGTTTAAGGGAAGGGAGGTTAAAGTAAATATCTCTCCTATATTTGGTAAAAAATTTTGTATCGTCTTTAAATAAGTTCATCTGCCTCACTACTTTCCACATTGGCTGTCATAACAATAGTAAAAAAACAGAGATCAGATATTATTACCTGGCCATCAGAAGAACAAAATGGGTTTTGGCGATGTACCAATGAATATTTTGAAATCTAGTTATATTTCTCTGCTGGTGTTGCTCTGAGCTGGATAATGGTCTGCTGGCATTGTGGTGTTCGTGTCCTGGGTTTAGAGATACACAAAATATGAATTCTTAACACTTAGGCTATGGTAGATTCAATGTTAAGCTGAGCTGTAGTCATGTAGCAAGAAAGCCTGAAAATTTCCAATCCTTGGAGCAGAGAACTTTATCCTTTGCATTATTAAAAGCAAATTATTATTTGCCATGATAAAGTGACTATGTGGCATGATCAAAGGGAGGAAGGTGAAGGCACGCTGCATAGAGACACAATGACTATGTGGGACAGAGTGCTTCCTGTGGGATTGCCCATGGGTGGCAGAGCCACTAGTCGGGCAGAAGGACCAAAATCCCTAAAAAGCAGTCAGTCCTTGGATTCCACCTGGACAGTGTTTCTGCCTAGGAAAGGAGGAGATGCCTAGCAAAACCAGTCCTGAAGTTTGCATTTCTGCTGGAGATGAATGGAGTGCTCATGCTAGCCCCAGACCCCCACTAAGTCCATATGGACCTTTAGATAGGGAGTGAGGTCTTAAGACTGTAAATTCTCCAGGATAGGTACTATAATTTAATCACCATCTGCACTTAACCAGTAGCACACAACAGATGTAGACATTTAACAATAAAATTAAAAACTCTTTATTTAGAAATGTATTATATTGGTAAGTCTAGACTGCTCCCGGATACCCAGCCCTCTGGGTGAGTGTGCTGCAGAAGGCATCATAGCACAAAGGATGCCTGTGTTGCGCCTTGTCTTTGCTGTCGTCACTTACAGCCTATACGATGCTGGACCAAGATAGAGAGATCAGTAAATGTTTTCAAACCTAAATAGCTACAAAAATACAAGCAAAAGAGAACAGGAGTCTGGAATAACCCTACATCACATTTTCAGTTTTTCAAATTCACTTGTAACTTCACACCAGTTAATGGTTCCCAGCTTGCGGCTCTTGCTGTTCTGTTCCCAAGTCTCGCTCTTTGTGATTATGGGAATGTGCAAGGTGGCAGAATGTCCACGCGATGGCAGTTCAGTCCCCAGCAGAAAGGTGACAAACAGTGAAGTTCAGCGTCCCCAAGTCTGCAATCCTTTCTTCTTGGTGCAGTGGGTGGCTCCCAGGTGGGTAACATAACAGTGCAGTCCCTTGGTATCATGTCCTTTGCTCAAGGGTAAAGAAACACATTAGAATAAAAAGGAAAAAAAAATGTTATTAAAGCTTGTTAGAATACAAACAAAAGGTTTTATTGAAGCTTATCTTTAAAGCCTGAAATATAAGGTAATTTTTGAAATCTACCCAGGCTGAATACTTAGGGAAGGGCAGTTTATCATCTGATAATTACATTTGCATGAGAAGATTACTTTTGAGAGCTTGCCTGTTGTAGACAGGGATCAGAACTATATTACATGGCCTTTCCATCCCATCAAAATGTATAAAATGCCAATATCACCTCCCTATGAGCTGCTCACAAACACGGTACAACCAGGAATTTTCCACAGGAATTATTCTGAAAGTGATTTCAAATGAAATAACACCTTGCATACAGTTCCAATCTATTCTAGAAATATGCTGGAAAAAAAAATAAATGATGAAACTCAGAAAATCAATGTTTCATCAGAAGGTTCATTGAGTGGCTTTAAAGGCATGGTTTCATTAGCTAGCTTTAGTTTTTAAGAAATTTCTCTGGGTGGTGCTATTCTTGTGATTAGCTGTATCTTTTCTAGTGATGGGTATTTGTATCATGAGATCGTGCTATATATTACCTGACCAAATGGGAAGGAATGTTAGCTTTTTTTCTGAAAACAAGAGGTTATAAAACCCTAGCCTTAACAGGAAAAAAAAAAACCCAAACAACAAATCAAAAAAACCCAACCAAAAAAATTAGTTTCAATTAAGATAAACAGAAATAGTCGTTACATTGTAGGTCTTTGAGAATGTAACAACGTAATTTCCAGATTAAAAAAAAAATTTGTGCAAAAGCATGTGTACCCAAAACAGAAGGGAAAATCATTCCAGGGTTATTGCAATTATTTCAAACCAAAGAAGGAACTACCTGTTCAAGAATGTAAAGAATGTTCAAGAATGTTAAGATTAAATGTAACAGCAACCCAAAAATATTTGAAAATATAGAACCAGCTTTTGCTCCATTCTATAGTGACAAAAAGTTTCTAAAATTTTGTACCATTTGACTGTTATCACCAGTCACTGTTTCTCTGAGGCTGTAATGTGGCAAATGCTACCATACTCTTCTTCTATGCCATGAGAAGTCAAAAAAGTGATGCTGGCCACCAAGCATGCCCAACAGAGCAGTCCTGCCCACCCTCAGGCTGGAAGTCCATGGATGAAGTGATTAGGTGTATTTGTCCTCATGGGGAACATCTGGTGTTCTTCCTCCACTCTGCTGAGCATGCTGGCCATCCAAAAGAAAAAAAAAAAAAAAAAGGGTCCTAACAGGCTTTCACAGTTTGATGACAAGTCTCTGGTCCTTCTGCCTCCCTGAGGACTCATGGGGCTGGCGACACACAACTCCTGCTCTGCCCAGGCCAAAAACCCAAACGTGTTCAGGCTTTGGCCTTGCCTGCTGGGAGAGCTGCTGGTTCCTGGGGACTTCATAATAAAATCCCTGTCATCCTCCAAGGTCTGCAACACCAAATCTTTCTTTAGCCTAGCTTACACTATAAAGCCAGTGCAACCGTTTTCATCTGCCTGGTTTTTGACCATTTTGTGATCTGTGTTTCCATGGCAAGTTTAAGTGAAGTTGGCCAGGAGGTGTTAGCCACTAAGTTGGTAGTCAGGAACATGGGGACACACATCCACACAGGAAAGCAACGTAAGTAAGACAGAGACACGGCTTCTAGAGGTGCTCCTTAAATTCCCCTTCACTGTTGACTCCCTGCTGCCTCTCTGTCATTAAAAGCCCATTCAAATTTATTTACAGTTTGAAACAAAAATGCAGTAAAGATAAAAATCTCTCACCTTATACCAACATGTGCTGTTGTTGCTTTGACAGCATTCTCTGCTCTCTCTGATCTTCTAGTTTCAAATGCAAGCAGAAACTACACAAGAAAACCAAAGAAAATCTGCAGAATTTGCCCTTTTAAGCACAGTCATTGCTTCCATTTGGAAACCACAGTGAGCTGACTCTTGGGGGTGCCTGGCAGATGACTGCTGCATCAGATGGACAAAACCAGGGGGTGCCATGAGTTACATCCTCTCCTTCCTGCTGTGAAGAGGCACTGCCATATGGGAGCTGCTGTGGGAGAGGAGCAGGGGAAAGACACCCCATGGGAAATGGTGGGGATGAAAAGTCCTGCAGCAGCCTCATATGGTGCTGAGAAATGTCGGAGACCCACAGGCAGCAAAATAGACATGATAAAAATACAGGTAATTTAGTATCCTGTCTCCAGCCCGTTGAGTAAAGCTTGTTATGGAGAAAGAGTGCATGAATGGAGTTGTCTTGTGAAAGCCCGACAGGCAGGTGGTTTGCTGCTTTTCTTTAAAGGGCAGCAGAGTGTCCTGCTTCTCCTTCCCTTGCTACAGCCAGAGCTGTGGGGATGGTGGAGATGGTGAAGAGGAGCATCTGTCGTCTCGCATGCAAGGTGGGTAACCTTCAAAGGGTGAGCACAGGCTCCAGCAGGCAGAGACTGCAACATGGGGAAGGAACCCCCATCTCTTTCCCTGGATCCTTGTGAGACGATTTAATTATTTAGCCTCCACAACAGCTGTTGCAATTATTTCCTCCATTTAACAATTTGTTGTGAAATATCTCTTCCTCTTTTAGACCTGCTGCCAGAACACTTCAGTGGGTACCTCCTTGTTCCTGAATTATACAAACTAATCAGTAGTCTGTCCCTATTCATCTTCAGGCCACTGATGATTTTCCAGACCCCTGTCATAACCTCCCTCAGTCATCCTTTTTCTAGTTTGGAGGCCTAATCTCTTCTGTCTCTATTTCTAGGAAGAAGGGCACATGCAGTATTCATACATAGGGTGTGTGGTCTCTAACTAGATTTAGAGTCTTCTATATACTAATACAGTCAGGCATCTTGTTTTGCTCACACTCCCATTTCTAATCACTGCCTGTGCTCTGCTTACTTCTTTGGTCTGTACTAAGCATTAAGCTGATGTTTCCTGAACTGGTGCCACCACTGAATATATATATATATATATAACTGGGCTGGATGTAAATATATAATTTATCTTTCCTCATGCATTACTTTTACCAGAAATTAATTTCCACCATTTTATGGCTTAGTCCCTTGTGTCTTGCGATCCTTAAGCAATTTGTGGAAGTGAGCTTTAGATCGCCTGTTTTCAATGAAACTGTATCATCTCTCATTCCCATGCCTGGATGGCGAATGAGTACGTTGTGTAACACAGGCCCCAAAGCAGACTGCTCTGAAAATCCTCATCTATTGATTCCTAGAGGCATCAACAGCATGTTCCCTTTGCATCCTGTATTTTAAACAGTTAAACATCAACACAGAGGCCTCCCCGCCTGCGCGGGCCCAGTTTAGGAGCCCTACTGACAAGGCCTCCGCCGGGCTCTTTAAGCGGGGCGCCCCGCCCGCAGGCCTCCGCACAGCCGCGGGC